CTTTTATTTCTTAGATTCAGCTGAAAACTGAAGGTTTGTAAGTTTCCTAACTTTCCTTGCCGTCTATCTGCGCATTCTCAAGCGTCACGGAACTCAGAAGTCCCTCAGACAAGCAACTAAATCATCTAACCTAGATACTTCCCCCCAGATCCTCTCATCCATCTCCCTCCATACGTTCAACGCTTCGAGTTCCTGCACGCCGAGGAATTTTTCTTCTTTACCAATAACATCGCTCCTGCTGGCCTTCTCTACCGTTCCCTTAACTTTCTCCCCTTCCACTCTCGCCCTTCCTAAACATCGCGCCATAGTCTTGTAAGTTTCCTCCAACATTTTCGCCTTGCATCTCTCCGGATCGAAGAACCAAAGGAAGTTTGTGCGTTGAGGATTGCGGCTATTGTCTCGGGGCACTTCTTGTAATCCGATCATACCGGCTTTGTGGAGTGGGAGAAGGTAGCTGCGCATAGTCTTCTGAGCGAGGAGCGAGGTAGAACACAATACTTTCTCATCCGTTTTCCCCTTGTCGAAGAGGATGCGGGTAAGGCGTGCGGCGGGTAGGCCATGGCGAGATGTAATGATCTCGAGAAGGGTGTGGTGGATAACGTTCTTCATTAGTGTGGGGAAGTCGATCGTCCATCGTTCGGGAAGAATGGATGTCTTTGGGAGATGTTGAAGAAAGCTTAAAGGGTGCATAGCGAGGACGAGAAGATGATTGCGGATGGCATCGCGGTGTGGATTATGAGAGAAACTGGGCATGGCGTTAGGGTCAAACTCTGCTTCGCCATTGACCTCATCGAGATCCGAAGAGACGTCTGAGATGTTGTCTTCATCGTTAGAATCAGAAGCATCCTCTTCTTCATCTAGACTGGCTTCACCATCAACCACTGACCCGTTGTCGCTAATCACTTGTTTCTTCCGCCGTTTCTTGGGGTGATCAAATTGTGCCATGTCGAGTCTTCCATCGTCTGATTTACCCAAGGCATTGAACAGCTCGGAAGAGTCTTTGATTGCACCTACTAGCTCGTCTGTGGAAACTTGGGGTAAGGAGCCCAGATCAGCTTCTGCGTCTATTTTGTTCAAGTCCTCTGGCTCTTCCCGACATTCTTGTACTTTTGGTTCCAACGCACGAAGTACTTGAGCATAGACTCTGGCAGTGCTCGTGCTTATTATTCGATCTGCTAGGTCGACGAGGTGGTCATTCCTCATCAAGACGACGAACTTGGCATGATTGACCCGAAGGATGAGATTGCTCTACTAAGAGTCAGTTGTCCGGCCCTTTCTCGAAGAATTTCCAATTTTCGTACATCCAAGTAGTCAGTCTCCCCCAGCATTGGCAGATAGACTTCTCCCGGTATGCCAACGACTTCTTGAATCAAGGGTGAGTAGAGCCGTTGGCGCTTCTGATCTGGTCGCCGGGGTTCACTGTCTTGATGTAGCCTCTTCTTTCCTTTCCTGAGATCCTCGACCTCACCCTCTTCTCCGTCGGCACAATATTTCCACTCCTTGAGCTTTCGTTTGACCGCCGCTTCATGTTGAGCATCCTGCTCCCTCTTACTCTTTGCTTTGTATTCTTCTGGCTTTGGAACCAATTTTTCTGCCTCGCTTCGATTGTCGGCGTCTGAGCGGAAATGAGATAGATGGACCCGTGATACAGACTCAGTTCGCAGGAGGTCACAAAGTGTCCCATATATTGACTCAAGCGTAACACTTTGTTCTTCATTTCGACCTTCGGATAGACCCGACAAAGGGTTGCTAGGTGGTCCGCGAGTGGCAGCTAGACGATCATGGGTACTCCTGGATTGGCCCACTCCATAAGCTTGCACTAGATCACCGACTCGAGCGTGTCCTAGAAGCAAGAGATCAGATATAACTTTGCCAGCAAATTCACCGGCTTGAGCTTCTGCAATCTTAATATATTTGCCGGATCGCACAAGGGAATATGCAACTGTGGTATTGGCTTCATATAGGGTCAGGTGATCGTCCGAAGAGGTGTACCAAAGGACTAAGTGTTGCTGAACGAGGACGGATAAGCCATGTTTGACCAAGCGATACGAGAGGTGTGTGTGATGTTGTAGTGCGGGGAGAGACAGGCGTCCATAACAGAGTAGAACTTCGAAGATACGCTTTTGTGTTCAGCCTTTTTCTTCCCACGGAGCTGCGCCCTATTTTCCTTTCTACAACCGACAAGAATGGACGATCGAAATCTGCTCACCGAAGTCAACTCCCCATATGTGTCATCGACAAGGAGGGTGCATAATTCGTAGGCATGCTGTGAAAATGGGTGTCAGCTTGTAGACACAAAGATCTCGAGGCAAAAGCCCGAGAGAGACTCGAACGCGCACTTACTCGAGACATATCTAAACATTCTTGAGACTATGCCAAATCGTCTAGATTTGCCACGAGTATTACCACCGGCGCTCAAGAGGTGTGCTAAAGTGATATAAATTTATGGCTTCTTGTACCTTTCTTCCACTCTGTGGGGCGCCGCAATCATTGAATATCGGGTGAAGTCCGGCGGATTCACGCCAATGCTACCGCCGGCCAATATATTGGCCGGCACCCGTGTGACTGCCATCGACACCAAGATCTCTCAAGCTCTTCGCTAGCAACCATTGATAACTGTGGGGCCTTTTTCCTCTATTGTTCGCCCGCCAATATGATACCCAGAGCGGCTCTAGCCCGCAATGGGCAGCGCGCTCTTCAATGGCAGATGAGATCGAACAACTGGCGTTGCCTTGCGACTGCGGCATCAGGGAGCTTCTCATATGAAATTGGAGATGCTGGAGGGGTGAAGGTTGCAAGTAGAGATCTTCCAGGGCCTACGACACATCTTGCAGTCGTCGCAAAGGCAGGAACCCGATACCAACCATTGCCGGGGTTCTCGGAGGGTCTCGAAAAGTTCTCATTCAAGGTCTGTTTTTCACTGCATTGACGGCCCAATTGACGTTAAGGCACACACGTCTACATATGGAAGAACAGTCGCGCTGATTGCTTTTCGGCGTATTTGTAGAACACCTGGAAGCGGTCTGCTCTGAGGATTACAAGAGAGACTGAACTGTTGGGAGGAGAGTACAGCTCTTACCATTCAAGGGAAAACCTCGTCGTTGGCGCAAAATTCCTCAGAGATGACTTGCCTTACTTCGCCGAGCTAATAGGAGAGGTCATATCCCAAACCAAGTACACCGGTGTGTTGCTGTCCTTTTCCTTTGTCCAAAGTCTCTCAAGGACTGACAGCTTCGCAAGCCCACGAGCTTCACGAAGAGGTCGAGCCAAACATGAACTTTTCAAGAAAGGAGCTGCTGGGTAATCCTCTCGAGTTTGCCATGAACTCAGCTCACGGTGTCGCGTTTCATCGTGGCCTTGGGAACTCTCTCCACCCGTCTTCGTCCACGCCGATGACCAAATACCTCAATGAAAACCGTCTCCAGCAGTACAGCCGTGTCGCGTATGCAAAGTCAAACTTCGCCGTTGTCGCCAATGGTGCCGACCACCAAGAGCTATCGAAATGGATTAATGAGTTCTTTACCGAATTAGATCAATCACCGCCGCAGGACTTTCCGTCAACTGGCACAGAATCTACCAAATACTACGGCGGTGAGGAGCGTATAGCTCATGACTCTGGAAATACTATGGTCATCGCTTTCCCTGGGTCAGGATCGGCAACAGGAAGTTCGTACAAACCAGAGAGTCAGGTCCTGGCAGCGCTACTTGGAGGCCAATCAAATATCAAATGGACGCCAGGCTTTTCCCTGCTGTCCAAGGCCACTGCCGCTTATCCACAAGCACACACTGCCACCGCACATCATACATACTCCGACGCAGGGCTACTTACCGTTTCAATGTACGGCAATGCTGATCAGATAAGGCAAGCTAGTCAAGAAGTTGTCAAGGCTATCAAAAGCGTGGCCGCTGGCAACGTCGGCAGGGAAGAAATCAAAAAGGCTGTTGCGGCAGCAAAGTTCAAAGCGCTGGAATCGGGCCAAAATATGAATACAGGCATTGAGCTGACAGGTGCTGGACTCGTACAAGGCGGCAAAGCCTTCCAGATTGATGAGCTTGGGAAGTCTATTGATACCGTTACCGAAGATCAAGTCAAGACGGTAGGCTTCGTCCCAAATTCCGATATACGCCTTTGCTGACGAGGATTGCTCTTGAAAGGTTGCGAAATCTCTGCTGGACGGAAGAGCAACGGTCTCAACCGTCGGTGACTTGTTTATACTACCCTTTGCGGAGGAGATAGGCCTGAATGTGTGAGTGGGCTGATCTGGCGCTGTCTCTGTCACATCAGCTACAAGTACAGAATGGAAACATTGACAATGCGCCTTGGAGTGTTCGCTGTTAATTAACACCAGTGGAGCTACCATGATTTTGGTAGCTTGGTCCAGTCTTCATTCCGAGCCTTCCATCGGAAATGATTCCTACCTTACTCTTACTTTTAGTATCTCCGTGGATGGTTAACATGTGCACAAAGCTTGGGAATTCTTGGGTCAGAAAAAACACACTTACACATTATAAACTAAGGTACCTTTTAACTCTATTGTAAAGTCAATATCTCGTGCTTGCAGAAAAGATGTTTTGCTTAACATGAAAGATGTTCGGTTTTATCTACTCTACAACTTACCCCAAAATCCAGAGCCTCCGGTTTCCGGATATTCTATAATTATTCTAGGGCGTGATAAAGCATCTAGAGATAGCTTGCTCTTAACGCCTTCCAAGAATTTCAACTTTAGGAGTAAGTTGTAGAGTACATTGAATCGAGTATCTTGCACATAGGGATCCCGTTGTTGAACCACGCGGTGGTGGTTCTCTGGGGGGTTTAAGGGTACATAGTTGATGTGGTGTGTGCGATTTTCTCGATGCCAAGAATTCTAAAGCTTTATGCACACGCTACCTGTAATCGCCCGTCCCGCGATGCAAAGCTTCTAAATTGAGTCGAGTCCTCGCGCAATATACCGTCCATCCATAACATCTTACGACCCATCACACACCCCAAAGATTCAACTATGGCATTCGCCTGGAAAGCCTCAGGCCTGACGTTTGTCTACTTGTCTTCAACTGGATTCAATGGCTGACAGATCACAGCTACAACCGATACTTAGCCGTCGCAGCCCGCGTTGTCCGACGCTCACTCAAGGAAGGAGAACGGCTGAAGGCCGAGAGACGAGGAGAGATGGAGCTGAGGTTCGCCAAATGGGAGGTGGGTCTGGCTTGGACAGTTGAGAAAATCGAACCAGAGAGAACTAACGAGGCATGATGCAGAATGGCAAACAAGGAGAGAACAAGAGTCTCGCCCAGGCAAATGCTAGTTCAATGGCAGAAGGAGCTGGGCATGGACAAGGACAGTAATAGGGGAGTTTGCTGGAATTTGGGGCGTGGAAACAAGGGGAAAGGCTCCCAAGTGTATAGATACGCTGGTCGTAGGCTTGCGGAAAGGCACCTCTCACCGTAGATGATGCTTTTACGAGGAATCAACAAGATCGATAGATAACTGGTACTTCCATTTGCTGGTAGCAAAATGGAAGAATAATGTTGATCGAAGAGAAGATACAACAAATTTGTAGCAAATCACGTGTCTCTCCGTAACTTCTTGCAACCCTTAGGTCACCTTCCCGTGTATCTACACGAACGGATAGTCAACGGTCTTGACTTAAGCCCACATGAATTTCGAAGTCGTCAAAGGTAAGATCCATATCCCTTCCAGCAATCGCACAACTAAGAAAACCCGGAGACCTCATGGCGGATTTTTCGAAGCTCAGCAGCGCACCGGATCACCACGACGTGCGACAGCAGCATCACTCTCCGCTTCCCCCACAATCAAAGAGCAAACGTATTGTGACTCAGAATGTTACCTCCGAGTTCTTCGCCGCCGCATCAGGTCCGTGTAATTCACAAGCATGGTCGAAGACAGAATACAGTCCTGATTTTAGACAGCTCTCAATACCGGTCAACTTGTTAAAGATGAATACTTCACTCTATTCGAAGCAGTGGGAGCACTGGAGGTAAGCGTATAGTCTTGCGAATGCGGCATACAACACGCAAAAATTTCAATATCAACTGCTGAGAGATTGTGATAGATCATGGATCCTAAGATGGATAGCGGTTTCTTGACATCTGGTGAATCCGTAGAGCATGATTACGATGTCCTGAGAGAGCTACTACCAGAGGAGGTCCTCGGAATCATGGACCAAATGTTATGCTTTGAGGTGTGCTTTCGCTGTACCCTAATGATGTGAAGCAATGGACTCTTCTGATACTGATCGTAGGTATCGTAGATGACGTGGCACATGGGACATCCTCTTTCACAGTCGTTGTTTACTTCAGCATATATCGATCAACTTCTCTGGCCCGATCCCAAGACATTGGAGCAAGCTCGTTTTGAGCGGGACAAGACGTCCGGACCAGGGAATAAGCTGCTACACCTAGTACTTCGGGCATATTGCCTGGGCCTAGTCAAAACTTGCGACTTTGTACGTAGGAGAATCATGTCCGAGCATTACTACGAGGTCAGTCCGCTTCTTCCGATGGTGGATTGGGGGCAATTAGTCAATTGCCAACTTTGTTTAGGAAGAAGACTTTGTGGTGAGCCTGTACCATCGGAAACTGCTCGACGACTTCGAATTGTCCGATATATCTACGAAAATAGAGGATGCCATGGCGTTTGTCACTAAAGAAATAGAGTCGATGGATCGTCCCTTCAGAGACGCCCTCCTCAATCGGCTACAACTTCGAAAAACGTTGCTGTCTGCTGTCCAATCAGATGGATTTTTGGATCGTCAAAGAGCGAGGCTATGGGAGAGGTGCCTCGAGCTACTTCCCATGCTTTCGCAGACAAATAAGCTTGGTGTGCCGATAGAGAACTCTTTCGGCATAAAGATACAGCGTAAGCTAGCTAGCAGCGTGCCTCCGCGACCAATAGTCAGGATCAGCTTTGACGAGGCTCTCTCACGATTAAGTGGTATCTGTCAGAACGGTAGGGATGCTTACCGAATCCTGGATTCTCAGGCTGGAACTCGTCTCATGGTGGGCGGAATTGACTTGTGGCGCTTGACCAAAGCTGTTCTGACCTATCCTTAGACGTTCGTCTTGACATACCAATCTCGAATACCACAACCTTCCATTTACATACGATGCTTACTGCAGTCACTGGTTTTCAGCGAGATGAGGGTACTTGGGACCATATCATTGAAGCAACTTCTCTTTGATGATTTCGAAGAACTTGTGCTGCCTGCAGATATCCTTGTCGACCCAGCCAATGGTGACATCGAAGCGCCCCAAGATCCTAGGTTTCAGATCTCGAAGAGGATGGATGCTTTCGTGACAAAAGCTGCGGATGTGAGTCTAGCATGAACGTCACGATTGGCTCGTGCAGCTAAGAGAAGCAGTGTTTTCTCAACATATCTAGAAATCTATGCATGAACAGATCTCGATTACGACGCATCCTTTGTCGCGATGCTGTTGAATGGGAGAATCTACAGTTCGATGTTGGTCCCGATCATACATTGACTGTTGTCTATTGCTAAATATAGAATAGGCTGAAGGGATTGACACCGAACTTCGCAAGTACACCAAAGAAGAGCCGATTAGGGAACTAAGTGCGCCAAACGAAGAGATCTGGTCGTTTCCCCTGTCGTCATGGGCGTATTATTACAAATTGCGCCAGATGGAGTGGATCGTGCAGATGGGCTTCGAGCTAGACATCTACCAAGTTGACGAGCTAGCTGGAATGTATTGGTATCTAGACTGGAAACCCCTCCACAGACCATGTGTAAGGGCTGAAGTCGCTATTTATAGGTATCTGCAGCATCTGGCAAGCACTCGGCTTCAGCACATAGAGCGTATTCGAACTTTCAGCGCGCACAGGCTTAAGCGCATCGCCAACCCAACGCTCAAGCAGAAGACATCATTTCGCCGTTCGTTCTCTTTCCTGGATTTTGCTACGCTTGAGGCATCGGCGACTCAATCTTTTGCCGAGGGTCTCTCCTGTGTAAGTCTGACACCGCCTCCGTTGTCTCTTTGAATATCTGCCAACGTGCTCACTACCGCGGCATTAGCTCTTCTCATTCTTAGCTCATCTAGGACTTATTCCTGCTCCATACCATCCTTTGCCGTACGGCACGCCAGCGCTTCGCTATTCTCTCCGAGTGCAGCCCTTCCTTTCTGTGTCTCTCCCTGAGGTGCCGTCTTATCCCGAATTTGCATCTCGTGTTTCTCTTCACACTCTCGAGAGAGATGCAGGAGATCCTTCCCATCAGACAGCATCCACAAAGATTGAAACCAACGATCAAGCGGTTGCAATCCTGGACTTTGCAGATCAAGCGTTGAAAGCAGCCAGAAAGGATTGGGAAGCTATCAGCAAGACGAAAGCCGAGACAGCACGGTGCGTTGGATGCGAAGACTGGTGGAGAGCCTCGGTCAAGAACATCGTCAGAGCTTGCATCACAGCAAACATAATGATTGCAACATCAAAGAAGGCCATGTCGAAAGCAGCGTCCCAGGACGCACGGGAGATCCTAAAAGTGGAAGTGGTAAAGAGTAATGAGCTCTATCACGCTTGGTGGATGGTACCTCGGATTTTGCCGAAGTGAACCTCCGAGTGTCGCTATGGCTCATTTCAGAGGAGTGATCACAAGCTCGTACTAATGGCGATGGAACGGAGTCATTGTTGGTGCGAGCCGATGTGTGTGATGCTGCATTCGCAAGACAACCGGAAAGAGGAAACTGGTGTGATCGCGAGTAAGTATCAAAACGCGGAGAAAACCAGTCGCCTATCGTCTCTCGTCTAATCATGGCAATTGCCAGGCCGTCCCATAAGTAGCTGTGACATGGGGCCTAAGTGTTGCATCGTCCTCTTAGTCCAAGGTTGGAGCGTACGGCACTTTTGTTCACAACAGGTTCAATCTTAGAAACGTCTCGCTCGCTTAACCATCGTTTGCGCTTCTTCTGCCGAATCGCAGCCCTCCCCTGTTGCTCCTTCACTTTCTACGCTCATTGTCCACTTCTGCTTTGAGTTTATGTCCAAACGTCCTCGTGGGCAACGTCGTCTTGGTTGGATACCAGGTTCCCGATACTCAAACGTACCTAATTGGCTCCCTCATCAGAGACATATCTAAACAGCCCATCCTCGTAGCTCAGGTCTGCGCGGTAGTCCAGCAGTAGATGAACAATCGCATCAGTGTATGGGGTGGTAGCGTTCTTCTTCCTCAAGACGACCCCTAAACGTACTCTGTCGCCGACTGCTCTCTTTACACAGTATCTAAGTTGGAAGCAAAATTGACTTATGTCATCTTTAACGAGGCGATGGAAGGATTGATGTATCCGATAACCTCCCGGATCTAATGTAACAAATCTACCTCCACCCCCTGTTATTATACTATCAAGGCATTTACGAGGTAATCATAACTGGCAGGACTTGAAGGGTAGTCGTACGTGTGTTCAATGTCGCATAGACATTAAGGGGAGGGGTTTTGGTAGAGAGATTAGTGGTAATAGTGGTATTTCCCCAAGGACTAAGGGGGGGTGCAGTGTATGTAAAGTCTTCTTATGTCGCAAAGGGGACTGTGTGAAGCGATTTCATGATAGGGTAGTTGCTATGTAGTCTCTAGACTAGATACAAGCCATTCATAGTAGATTATATGATGGGAGTGGAGTGGTGGTGGAGATGGTAGTAGGAAAAATGGATTTGTTACATGTGGGAGGTTATCGGATAGGCAATCAAGGAACCAGAACCTCTCGCAACAAACGCTGAGGCGAAGTTGGGAATTGAGAAAACGCCACTACATAGGTTGCAAATGTTGTATGTCCTGAACATGAATGCAAGGAGTGCGCCGTCAGTGAAACTCGGACATGATAGACCTTTTTAGATGAACTGGCTTCTTTGTTCAAATCGCTTGGCCGACGTTTTTTTTCAGACCTAGGAACAACAACATCCTGCATAGGACATCTCTATTAAATAATTCAAGTCAATGACCGGAGGAATGTGCTTATCCGGTGGTATCATGCCTATAACGTAGAGTACGCAAAGCCGAGCCCCGTACTGCTCTCCGAAGAGATGGCAACCTTTATGCTAGCATCTTCGAAGATCACACTTGTATTCGTATCAAGCCAACAATATTTGAAGAATATGACATAAAGGCAGTCCAAACAGTGTAATTGATGGCATCAAACTCCATCCTTCTTGCTAATAACAGGACTTCCACTGTTGCGAGTCCTGCTTTTACTTGCGACTTGCTGTCTGTCTCCTCAATAGACATGTTGTCGACCACAGGCAGTGCTAGATGTGGCGCTGGTCTGGCTGCTTATGATTCGCTCTCAATGACATCTGTGCTCAATATCCAGCTATCTTCTTCGGACACCTTCAAGCGTTGGTGGTCCAAGGAAGCACCATGAAGAGCACCCGAGTTCGTAAGCTATTGCTGATGAAAACTTCGAACATGCAGACCATTCCGTTTGGTCAAAAGCATGTATATACAAGTTGATTCATTGCCAGTCCCATGGCACCAGTGATGATTCAGACCCGCTATTGCCCGCTTGATAATACGACAACGCTCAAACCGAACTTGAGGGATCTTCTATTTCTTGCCTAGTACGGCTGTTGAACCACAGCAATATGCTATCTTAATGTGTATAGGACAAAAAGTAGAGTACTTGTTCTTTCGTGTCACTTATCAGGAGATCAGCTCTTCATACACATGTTACCCCTATATTCTTAATCATTGGGAAACAAAAAAGTTCCCGCAAGCACCCCCCCCTCGAAAACCAAAAATTGAAATTTCTTGAATATCTTTACAACCACCACTCTTTATAATCTATAATTTTTATAATCTTTTCTCATAATACTAAATAATTAATTTTAAGAATCTTAAAAGATTTTAATTTCCCTATCGTAAGATATAATATAAATTAAAAATATACGCTTTACGTTGAAAAGTTACCTCGGCTATTCTATAATCGCCAAGACTTATCTAAAAAATCTTAAGAATTTAATAGATTTTTATTTTACTATACAGCAGATAATAAGAATAATTCAAAAATTAAAGATCTTGATCTTTATTATATCTTCTTATAGTTATAAAGTTTTTAGAAAATTATAATTTATCGTTGTGAAGTTATTCCAGAAGTTTCATTTTTCGATTTTCGAGAGGGGGGTGCTTGCGGGAACTTTTTTGTTTCCCAATGATTAAGAATATAGGGGTATCCCCAAATGTCCTGCGCAAAAGTGTGGGCTTTTCGCTCTTTGTAAATTGTAGCAAACCCCTCTGCAATTACCTCTTACAGCGCATTTTGACCGTCAAAATCCATCAATAGCAGCCTAATTATCCTCTTCATCATTCAATTTTTCACCAACAATTGCTCTGCTGAGTAACCCTAATTATTGTTAAGAATCGTTCGACCTTTTCCCAAGAAGCAAGAGCTGCGATATTGGGTAGTTGAAGCTCTTGAGGTGTTTTCTACACACTCGCTCGGGCTTCTGGCCCCCCCCCTCCTTCGGTGGGGCTGACGCGGCGGCACCAGCGGGCAGCGGCAGTCTGTTGCCAGCTGGTGGGCTCGCAATCAGCTAAGCTGACTCTCTGAAAGCACTTGCAGACATACCCTACCTGGGAAGAAGTAGACATCTTTGTTCTTGTTCTGCCTCTAAATTCTTGGGGTGGGGGGAGAAAAGGGATTCTGTACATGGTTTTGAAACGGGCAACACGATGCATCAATTCTATCAGTCTCATCAAATCCCCTTGGCCCGTCGGGCCACCGAACCCGTCACTCTTGCTCCCACCGCCTCCATGATTGATCCAAACCTTGAAAACCATCATATCCAACAATCACAAATTAATGCTGCCTACGGAAGACCTCAAATCCCCAATCATCATATCATTCCGAATGGCTTTCACCCTAATCACAACGCTTCTACAGAGCGTGAACTACCGTTGAGAGAAATCGACGACAACTCTATCGATGATGCTTATGTTCAGTTTATCATGTATTGTAATCCATCTATTCGTGCAAATGTTGATACCAGCGAGTTGAAGAAAGGTTTTCGTACACCGCCAAAGAGCGATGGAAAGACTTTCAGTCCATACACCTTGTTCGGCTTGATCTCTAGGCTGGAAGCTAAAGACATCAAGACTTGGACCCAGCTTGTGATAGAGTTGGGCGTTGAGCAGCCAGACGCTGCGAAGAATCAAAGTTCTCAGAAGGTCCAGCAGTACGCTGTCAGGCTAAAAGTACACACCCTCTCTCCCATATTGATCTCATCGCCGTCCTGTTGTCATCTGCTATCGCTCTTAGATGTACTGATTTCTGTGTCAACAGCGATGGCTTCATGCTTTCCACGTCGATGCTTTCTTCAATTACCTGCATAGCAAGCCCACTCTATATGTTGAAGAAAGGCCCGCGACTGAGGAATCTTTAGCAGAGACTGTACGAGATGGTATACCGCCAGAAGAAGACCTCGCCGTGCGTGCTCTGCTGCCTCAATGGAGACCCAAACGTGGCCGACGAAAAGCCGAGGACATTGAGGCTGAAGTCGAAGCGACTGCGGCGAATAAAAAATTGCATACTCGCTCTAGCAGCGCTGATTTCACAAGCATGTTTGAGGAGCAGTACTCAACAGCCCCATCTAGCGCGATGCCTTGGAGCGCACAAGCCCAGCAAAGTGACCCATGGGCAGCAGCTCAAGTAGCCATTGCACCCAAGACGCCCAGTACCGGGCAGACACCTACTCCAAATCAGCTGAGTGCTCAGAGCATGGGTCAGCACACGCGATGGCGTTTTACCAGCAACGAAACAGCTTCCTCTCCATATCCCCAGTCCGCCATTGCTCCCAGAAATGGATTCTCCGCCAGCTTAGCATTCGACGAGCCCAGGTCTGCTCACCCTTCAACCAATTCAAGCAAATCGCCAAACAGGAACCGTAGAAGACACGGCCCTGCTGTTTCTAGCGCATGGCCATCGACTACCAGTACAACCTCCGGCAAGCTACGAGGCAGACCTCCGAGCAATCGCTCAGTACAGGATGGGCCATTCTCAACCTTTCCCGTCAATCCAAACGCGAAAGAAACCCCTGCAATCAGCGTAGGCACACCCACCCATACCAGTCCAAGCCCAAGCCGCGAGACGCCTCCAAGTACCCAGCAAAGCCTCACATTCAATCAGCAGCCCGCCTTTGGCGATTTGTCCCAACCCCGAAAACCTAACAAATTGCAGCTTCAAGTACCGGAGCATTCTGGCGGACCTGTGCGGCTTGCCACGCCACCTAGAGTTCTTATCAATGGTGAGAGTAATCGGCAAGCGTCTGTGAACCATGAACGGAGGTCATCCGTCGAATTCTTCAACGACTTGGATGAGATCTCCGAAGAAGATGGGGAGGATGACGGGAACGAAGAGGAAGAGAACATTGACTGGAAGCGGAGAGCGCTGACATTGAAGAAAAGGCTGCTGGAAAAGGAGGAAGAGCTGAGGACGATCAAGCGAAGAGTATTGGATGCTGTAATGTGAGACGGCTATTTGCTAATTTCGATTCACTGCCCCTGACAGGAAGAATCTGGGCGCAAATTGAACTTGAAATTTTAAGCGTGTGGTTGTTCCCCGAGACGTCAACAAGACCACGACTTACACCCAGAATAGGCGTACGGATGGTTGGGCACCTGCCATGTCGCTGCTATCCAACATCCACCTACGATCTTCAAGGAACGTGCATCTGATGGCGCCTTTCCCTTCTGGAGTTGCACGAGTTTGACTTCAGTGGATCGCGAGGAGTACTTACCATGTTTCCGAAGTCAATTGAATTGCACGAGCTCGATTTCATTGAATGGCGAGGGACGAGGGTTAAGTTTCCAAACACCGAGAGAGCCACGAGAGATTGGAAAATGATGAAGACAGAGAGGGGCTTTTCTAGAAATCTGGTAATTCAATACATTTGTAATGGCTTGAATCTAATACTCGTGGAGAGGATTAACCCAGATCTATCAAGAGTGTGATGAACTCTAAAAGCTCCATCTTTTCTCTAATTCATGGTGGACAAGGTCTATTAGGCCTGCTCTGATGAATCGCAAGGAGCCCAAAGTGGGAAATTGAGAGTGGTTATAAGCTTCATTCTGATCTATCATGAGGACGTGTCTCCACGAATTGATGCAGACGAAGGGGAAGGAGCCACAGTCGTGCAAGAGGAGAGCTTTCAGGACTCTTCTGCAACGTCAGGATTCTGAGGGTTGGCCTATAAATATTAGACATCTACTCGGGAGGACGTCTGGTTCTCGATCACATCTTCAAGGCGGCTTCATGCAAGTCAATGGTATCATCCATGTATCCAACGCTTTTTAATGCCGCTTTCGTGACTTCAACCATCCTACGGCTCCGCTATTGCCTTCTCCGCCTTCCAAGTCACACACAATTGCCCCTAGGAAGCCGTTTCACCGGTCATCTCCTCAACCACCACCTCCGTCTGACCTACTCCCTTCCCAGTCCCAGAAGTCAAGATCCCTTCCCGACTCTGACATCCGGGACAATTATGGACAACCTCGTGTGCAAATACGTCGCAGTCAATACAGAAGAATCTCCCACAATTTTCGCATTCATACCGTCCAGACTCGGATACCCCATCCTTACTCGCAGTACTAGTATGCACAGCTTTCGGAGGGTGAGGTTGGCTCCGCGGAGTAGCAAGCGACATCCGAACATGGTTCTGCGCGCCAGAGGTACTCTGGCGCCGCAGTGAGGCAGGTCGTTCAGGGAACGGTGCCTGGCAGCCAAAGCAGACCTTTTGACCCGATTCGTTTGCGCGTGCCCAGGTGACTTCTCGCCAATTGCGTAAGGGGAACAAGTGGTGGTAGCTGCGTGCTAGATGCGTGCTTAAGATGAGGGTGAGGCCGCATGCTGGACATTGTGTTGGTAGCGAGCAGACCTTGCTGCTGCAGCGAGAGCAGAGATAGCCGCCACGCGTGGGACGTGAATGACATGCGCATAGTGTAGGACTTGGGTCGACGATCCTGCTCGGAAAGCCCATCATGAGTAGACTGCTTTCAACTCCACTGCGCTCAGTGGTGGAATGGGGCGTGGTTGGAGGGGTGGTTGCGCGCATGAGCAGGTCGCGGTAATGGATTTCATTGAGAGCGACGTTGTATGTTTGGCTTGGAGGTAGTGAGGGATTTGTGCGGGTGGCCAGGGTGAGGCAGATGGCGACTTGGGCGGCGAGACCGATGATTGTGACAGTTATGTGGGAGGAGACAAGGGCGGAAATAGTGGCATGTATATCACCCGGGTCGGAGGAGAGAAGGGAGCCAAAGAGGATCAAGACCTCGCGGGTCGTATGTGTAGGCGCATGAAAGAGAGCGGCACGAGCCATATCGAGGGCGTTCTGGAGAGAAGGTTGACCTTTTGGTTCCTGCTCATGCAATTTCTGGATGTTGGAGATATGGTCGTTTGGATTACCTGAAAGGGATGATATCGTGAGCGCAAGACCATCGCGTGTGCCTATTATCCCGAGTTGAGAGATAGGGTTCTGCTCGAAGAATTCGGTGATGAAGTTTATGGTGTAGCGGAGAGTGAGGAGGTAGCGGGTTGGGCGCAAGTCCTTGTCGGACATGGCATTTGAAAGGTCGAGAACAAGGAGCAGATGGCGGATGATGCCTCTCTGGAGGGGTGTGGTGTCTTTGAGCAGCCTATATAGCTCTCTCCAAATTAGAAATGCAGCTCCTCTTGCGTTCAATCGCAGTGAGTTTCACCCTGTGCTTCTCACCTCTTCCTCTTGCCTGCCTCAAGAAGTCCCTCGACTGTGGAACTGATTGTGCCATCCGCGCCTTCTACAACGTTCTCCCATGTGCGGGTTACCTCCCATCCTGCTCCTCGACTGCCCTGTCCGGTCACCCTTGAGCCCGCCCCAGCACCCCGGGTGACTTGATGGGCTTCTATATCCTCGTCGGAGATGTCTTGCACGTACTCGTCGTCGGATTCGGCCATGATGACGAGTAGAAAAGACGATTATCAGCAGAATTCACGGTAAGACAGTGTGGCCATGTCCCACAGGTTCAGATGCGATAAAGAGTGGAGCTGATTTGTTGCTTGGCACCTAGAAGACAACAGAAATGTCCCCCCCACTCACTCGAAGGTCGCATGGGGATGACCTAGGTAGGTGAGCAGAGATGGATAAATATTACTTACTCTACGGTACTCTTTTACCCTACGATAGACGTCTACCGTACGATAGCCTCCTATACTATAATATTCTCCCCTCCTACGATAACTTACTCTCTTACTCTACGATATTCTTCTCTCCTACGACATCTTAACCCCACAAAATTCTCCAACCCTACAACACTCTCTTACCCTACGACATTCTCCTATCCTGCAAGATCTTCAACCCCGCGATATTCCATCGGGAATAAATATGTGCTGGGGCGTGCGCTTCCCAGTAGTGGAAAGCTTGTCGATACCGTGGGAAGATCAATCAATACCTCATAGTTATATGATTTATCAAATTTCGTCTACGCTATCAGTATATATGATAGGAAAAGGTAGGGCTGATTGAATTTGTATGTGCAGCCAATTCAGGGTCACTACGCTTTTTGGTTAGACACCGCGGGTAAATAAATTAGCGTCCGCAACCATCAAAATCTCTCACCCTACTTTTAACCCTTCAATAACTTTACTATTTTCTATTGAAATTTTAAGATTTCTTTTTTAAATTATAGAGTATAGATTGCGCGTCTAAATGATTTGAAAAATTTAAAATTTGGTCTTATAATTGTTACACGGCAAGGAGTTCAGATATCACTTACCAAAGTTCGCTCGACAGCCCTGATCGAATCATCGAAAAAATGAGTATATTATTTGAATTTGAAATAGCTTTTTTCTTCTCTATTAAAATCTTTTAAATTTCTTTTTAAATTATAGTATGTAATTTATATACTTTAACATTTTAAGAATTCTAAATTTCAGTCTTATAATTATTTAAGAGCAAAGATTTTAAATATTATCTATTAAAGTTTACTTATTATATTTACTCGATACTTCTAATTAAAAAAATAGATTAGGAATTTAATTTATAGGCCTAAACTCGTATGATTTAAAAGCGTATAACTAATTCTATAAGACTATAACTTTATAACTTTACTTTATTATTATATTTTTGATAAAAGAAAAGAAATTAAGAAAAATAGATTTAAAGATTTTAAAGTTCTTTTTCAGCTTTTTCTTTTAGACGTACCTGTTTATATCCGTATTTAGATCGAGAATAAAGAAATAAGGTATTTTGTAGACTAGGAATCGTAAATTCCGATGATCTGATTGGTTACTAGCTTCTTAGCGTAGAAGCCATTTGGGATTTCAAGTCTTGAGCATTGAGAAAGCAAACTTTCCAATTAGATTTCATGATACGCTCTATATGAGATGCAACAACCAGGTAGAACCCAGGTCAAAGAATTCAATTTTTGAGTCACTCGCCATAACTAACCACTCGGCCACCTTCCACGAATTGTAGCTGTGATGTTATATATTTCTCCATTGTAATAGCGGCTAAAATGCCCGGGTGGTGCGACCTTAGGGCAGCGCAGAAATCTCCGCTCACCAAAAGAGCGGTGACATTGGGGTACATTGCTAATCACTTGGCGAGATAAGATAGTAGAAATCTGTCAGAAAATCAAGACTTGGTCTATGGATTCATGATGTATGTAATAGTTAATTGATTCTCTACATGATGAATACAGGTACTAATAGACGGAGTTGCGGTGCCAAGACCACGCTAGGCCTGTGTCGAGATGGTGGCAAAATCTGCCCCAAGCTCAGGCGGAGATCTTCCGACGGCTGCCGCTTTATCGCCCGAGAAACTCCCTGCTTCAGACCTCACTACGCCACCACGCCACGTTGACACCCCCCTTCCCCCCACTTTCCCCCTCCTTCATGCCCCCTTCCTCTTCACTTCAACCATAGCATCATGCATGCGACTACTGGCTCTCGAGACGCCGCCCCAGGCACCAGGCGTTGGCTGAGATTCATAGACACTCCCCCGATCCCCTCTTTACCTCCATCTTTTCCACAAGAAATCTGCGTTCCATCAGGATGGGCCGGCGACTTTTTCCTCAAGAGCAATTGGCACATGCTATAGATCACGGTGCCTACGTCCCAAAGGGTCATCTTAGAGTGGATAACTCAAGAATCATTCAGTCGCATGGACCGAAGACTTTAAGAGATCATGCATACATCATACAGGGGTATGTCGAGTATGTCTACGTCTACCAGAGAGTTCTTTCGGTTGGATACACGCCCGCTAACCAAAGTTCAATAGCTGGATTGATGGCTTGTAGCATCTTGCCCGTTCAAGGGAAGGGACTCTTGCTACTCCTCCTCCCTCCCCTTTTCCTCGCATCGGATATATATACCGAAAACCATCCAGCATTTCAGGAGGTCAGCCCGAATCCAAGCCTGGCGACTACAAAAGGCTTCTTGCGGTATCTTGCACATACGAGTAAGGGAAGATTGGCGGAAAGGATGACAGTGGATTCCTTAACCGCAAACACTGATTGGTTCTTTGCTGCATCTAAAGCTAGATGTGGCACTGTTTAGGACACTGATGACAAAGCTGCAATCAAAGCTGCGAGTCCATCTCTTGTGCCGCATATAGCAGATCAAATAATTCATTTCAGTGGATACGCCAAAGTCTTCCAGCAGAGGGATTGATTACAAACCAACATCGAACAAAGCACCTTTTTGGAGATGAAGACTTGGTCCGCTTCAACAGGACTTTCTGGACTGTAGACGATGCACATTCAATCCATCCAGGATAAGTCGCAAGACACTACCTGCCATGCATAATTTGCTGGTGTTTCTGTTGGAAAATTGCAGAAAAGATGAGACTTCATACCCTGCTGGTATAAGTGAGGTGCCGTTGCGAGAAGTAGAGACCGTTGTGGAGTCGGGTATGTTTGATGAAGGAATTCTGTCGAGCTCTATGTGACGTTAGTCGTCATATATTTCGTGATTCCAGCCCTGATAGCTTACCAAATCTTGAGGCACGTGGCCGATTACATGCCCTCAAATTGCTGATGAGTGAAGCAGATGGCATTTGCAAGTTGCTAGCTGAGTATGCAGGAATACCATTTGTATCAGGGCGCTCGCGTTCTGCGCGTCAAAGCGATAAGCAAGATCAGTATACTTGGAACAATTCGACATATGCAAACATACTGGACATCACTCGATCCGTGACCGCTGGCGACTGAGAAGCGTGTACCAGATTATTAGTCCAGAGTGGCATACTGGCTCCACCAATTTCACGAACGGTTGAATCCCGATTAGTGTTATCGAGATGATCCATGCTGTCGATGCTTGTGCAGCGCGACATGGAAGCGCTGGAACTCATAGCATCGGTCGATAATCCGTAGTCCTCATCTAAGACTCCTAAGTCGTCTGCAGGCTCCTCACCCGCATCTTTTTCATATTCACCTCCCTCATCTCCACTTCCTCCTGCGCTAGAGCCCCGTGATGCTGGAGTATTCCGGAAATCTGCGGCCTCCTCTATCACACTGCACACATTTGAAGCTCCTGACCTAGAGTTCAGGTTTGATGTCCGGTGAGAGCGTAATGCGCGAAGAGGAGCCATTAGGGCTCTCGCAAGGGTGAGATAGATACACTAAAGCATCACAAAGCTGTTTATCACTTGCTATATATCAATGCTCGTCAATGAATATTATCACTTATTCAGCATAGACTTGGACTCAGGATAGCACATTAAATCTGCAGAAAAGTTGGGATGGGTTCGGATGCTTCTGCGGTCGATGACGCATGCGTGTACTCGGCCGTGGAGAGTGTGTAGACCAACTCCCCATTATATGCTGGGCAACTTGGGCGGAAAATATCTCGAAGCTGCCGAGGACCTGTCCACATGGTCAGAAATATCTATCTAAGCATTTGGTCGTCCATACTCATCTGTACTTCTCTCGAACCCGAAGAAAATTCTGCAAACATCCTGTGAGTGTATGCGGCGGATATGCGCATTCTGCTCTGGCGATCGGTGCTTCCTTTTTGAATTTCCTGCATGCCGTGGATTGCCCAGTCATCGTCAATGCTGGTGATATTAGGACATTGAACGCGTGCCTACTTTGATTGAGGGCTGAGTGTCACCACCTTTGATGACTTCCTGAACTCGCATAATTGAATGTTCAAGGGGGCGATGAAGTCCATAGCGTATGTGTATTGCTTGCCTTTCTTTGTGATCGACGTCTTATGATCCTAATTTTCGCAATCACGCCCGCTATGGTAAGGTCGGAGAGGAAGGTCTTCTGCACCGTCCCTTGGTCGTCACCGATACCAATTCGAATGATTTCGCGCACTTCGGCTGGAGAAAGGTTGTTCTGCTGCATTATTTTGTCCCACTCTGTTCGCTCAGTGAACTTGTCTGTGATGTACTTAACTTTACTGCGCTAGGCGACATGATTCTTGGACTCGCGAATTGTCGTCTATTTGCTCAGTCTCATTCGGTTCGCTCAAAGAGGATATTGACAGGCCAATCCCTACATCGTTTGTTGTGGAGTCTAACTTGGGTTGGTTTCCGACACTTTGACCGCCGAGGGAGGTTGCGTGTCTGAAGAAGAGTCTCGGCGTTGTATCGCGCCCTGCATTGAATTATCACAAATAGCACCATCTGGAGCTAGCTCTAGGATCTGGCAATCATGACGAATATCCTGGGCTTCTGATAGTTTTTGAAGCGCTAGTTTCGTAATTAAATTCTCGTCGACAGTACAGCTAAGACTTTCTGCACCCTCGCCTTCGCATACAATCTCGCAATTGAATGGAGCCATCTTTGGGACTGAGAAGCGGACGGTGCGGACCGGAGAGCAAGACCGAAAACATCGAAGCCAGGTCCAAGATTGGCGGAACTTCCCGGTACCCGAATCCTTTTCATCGTTACTGAACAAGGTGGGTTGATATGCAATGCATGGTGCAACCATGAGGTTCGCAAAAGAATCAGGTTGGGAAGATTTCGACGTGGCTACCTCGCCACCTCGCTGATTGTCGGACTCGAAAGCATTAAAGATTAGGCCTACTCGTACATTTCGTGAGGCTTGGCAGAGAAACATTCTCGCCCAGACCGATAGCCACCAGGAACCTCCACGGGTTGGTTCCTTTTCCAACTTCCTTTTTCTGATCAATACCGCGAAAATATGAGAGGTTGTAGCTGATTAACGTGTACGATTAATGTGTACATTTTTCTGTTTTGTATTGTACAACTACGTTTCTCCCGCCAGCATTATCACACCTGATTCCTCCGCCCTCTTTTCCAGCACATCCGCTTCAAGTCCCACTTCGTAAATAAGCGGAGCCTGGCCTTCCCAAGATCGTGCAGTGACTTATTTATTATGTTTGTACACACTAAGGAGATGCAAGATAATCATGAGAGCTAATGCGCTAAAGTAACATCAATCATCACATAAGAAGGAAGATACTCGGGAGTAGTGCCATTATGTATACGTGCTCTCCCCTGATGTCGGCATAGGCCAGTCGTCTTCCGTTATACTTGACCAGAAGACCCATATCATGACGACGGATAGAAGCGTGAATAACGTTTCGAAGAGTGCGCCGTCGATCTTGCCATTGGTTCCTCGACAGATGTGAGTGCTGATAACGTATTGGAAGATTTGGCCGATAGCAAACAACAGCGCCGCCGCCACGAGATATACTAGATTTAATGTAAGTATATTACAGGCACTGATTGAGATGGAGCACCACATACACATCGGCTTTTTCTCCCCAAGTACTCTCAGGACAAGAACTGTCTCTAAAAGGAAGAACCCCGCCAAGCATATCAGAGGCCATAATTGATAGAGCACGTAGAGGGCAATGTTTCGATTATCCGGCCCTAAGAGACTGGGCACAAACGTGTGGGTGTAGCTGAAAGCGGTGTCGAGAGCTATGTAACCCGTGCCGACGAAGAATGCGATTCCGGACAAAAGTATCAATCCCAGGGATATAGGTGTGCCATCATCCAGAATTTGGAAGCCGACAACACCATTTAAGAGCAAAACCCATAGAGTTGCAACGATCGAACCGAGATGAACAGCAGTAAAACCCTACAAATGTTAGCATAGTTGAAGCGCATAGCTGGAGGAGGACAAAGCCGTACGAGCCTAACTTTACGTTCCAGGGGAAAACCGCCCACTGTGAATATCTCACATATCTCAACAATTATGTAGCCAACGAGGAACAGCTGGAACTCTCTGTGCATTGTCAGCAGCGGGCAGAAGCTGGCAGGACAGACCATACCTTCGGCCTACTGCAGCTTGCTTCCTGTCTGCTCTCCATAGGAGGACGGTGGTCACTAAGATGGCTAGCCCACAAAGCAATATTGACCCTACAAGCTGTCAGTACTGATGAAATTCCTATGGTCTATACGCACATACCGAGGTTCGATAAATTTCGATCATGGCTGAGTGTTATGCCTGTCAAACCACACCCTCCGAACCCATATCCTCCTAATTGACTGCCAGTGCCACTTTGTGTCGGCGACTCACTGAACAGCTGTGGTCTAAGTCAGCATCTGTTGTGATACCGAGTCGCAGCCGTTTCCAAGGTCGAGTAGGTAAGGGCTCGCTTCAGAGTGAACTTACGTTGCATATTGGGAGAGTGGAGTGTCGACAGAAATTCTGCGCAGGTCAGCCAACCGAATTTGAGGAATTTGCGGTGCGCTTCGTACGTGAAAGTTGCCGAATTGTGTGGAACCCATCGTAAGGTTGTTGGAGGGTGCGTGCTGTCCACTTTCGCCGACTCCCTACTCCCATAGATGGTAACCACGGAATGACGACAGTTGCTCAAAGACGCAGATAGTAGCCTTATTGTGTTTGAAGGTTTTGACGTCGCACTGGAGGAGTCAATGGCTGCAGAATCGGCTTGTCGGTGCAGGAGCGAGTGTCTGTCAGTGGCCTGTTATTAAAAACAAGAAAGGAGCGACGCGCGAGATCGGCAGGGCAGCTGCGGGACGGTGACGGAGCCTCTGCACCTTCAACGAGTAGCACCCTAAGAGATCGGAGTTCAAGAGAGAGTAAAGTGCTACTTTTGATGGCGACGAGGGTCAATGTTGGCGTGAATCGAATACGGTAGAAGGTGGGAGAGAATACTTACCTAGAGAATGAGTGTCTGACTTGCAGGGGAGATTGCTTTGCGGGAAGGGAAATGAGATGAGAGGCGCGACTTGAAGTGGCTGGTGAAGCGATCCCTCGGATGTTGCGAGTGACGCCACGGACCTGACAGTGACAACTCAACCTCTTGGGGACTCGGGGTTCCCTCGGTTCGATCTTCAACACTCCACAGCAACCTGGAGATTTCAAGCTGATATTCTATTCATCTTCTCTAAATCAAAAGGCAATGGGTCCCTTTCTTACCAATCACGTACCGATGCCAACACATCATGTTCTCCGTTGGATCTACGGACTCTAAATCTTTCCCCCTAGTTCTACAATGGACTACCAAATCGTTGCATGCCGGCGCCGAGTTGTTGTCAGGGTCATGGAGTACCGCTCGCCAGAAGCTATGTTACCTAATACTCAGGAAGACAGAGGAAAGCGGCGTCTGTGGTGAAAGTTAAGCTCGGGGAAGAAGGAGAATTGATTGAATCTATTCCATCAGATAATGACTGATCCTATTCTTTGCAGTCCTAGACACTGTTTTTTGTCGTTAGAAGACGTCAGAACTTTCATTTTTGGAGGGACAAATCAATTGAATATTGAATAGCCACGTGGCTCAATCCCACCCCTCTCTGCAAGTATGCTACCAAAATAGGAACAGGTACCATGACATACTCGTATACTAGACTGAGACCGTGTGTGTTCTTATATTCGCCTTCATGCTGCACATCCTTGAACATATAATTGCCTCCCTTGCTTCTTTGCGTGAGATTGGATTTCATTGCAGCAGGAGAAAGCTCTTTTTCTTTTTCTTTGTCTATATTTTATAATGATCAATTAGAACAAGATAAATCTTTCTATCAAAAGACATTGAAAAAGGAAATCAAATGTATAAATCATTAACTCTCTTATAGATAGAATGGCGCTTTTCAGGAAATATTAAAGAGAATTATCACCTTTTTCTGGTATCGCGCCTAAATTACAGGACTCTACGATTTTATTGAGGGTCCACATGCTCTTACCACCTGCACAGACTTGACCGTAGGTTCGCCACCTTCAGTGCCAAGGATAGATGAGAAAACCCTTGGAAAGGCTAGTCTCTGAGACCTCTTGACGTTAGCTGGCCTTCTCAATATGATGATGCGTGGGGTCGCCGCTCAGGTGGGTTTTCACGAAGAGACTATAAAACCGAGGGGAAAGGTACTCGGTAGGTACGAAGGTACATGCTTGCCTTATGCAGGGTCGTGCTCCAGCGTGGAGGCTCGCCAGCCACACCCCATCTAGCCCCTCGCGGCCGCTTTTGCAAGCAATAACTATGTCGTCCGTAGGGTGGTATTCTGAGCTTCATCAATCTCACACCCGCGCCGTGGGGGACACTGGAACTTACCTCTAGACAGTAGAGCACTTGGGTAATGGGAATTTGGACCCTGTCCTTTCCTGGTTACAATATAGAGGGTCTTTGTAGTCTGTACACCTAGCTTGC